CCAGAAGATGGCAGACCTTTTGGAGAACAAAATCAAGGAAGGATCGAACTTTGCTTCCTATCCGAGAAGTGAACTTGCACTGAATGAGCACGTGGGGCTACTACGAAGTGCCATTGATGGCATTGGTATCAGTGGTACACTACAGAGCTTCACGCGAGGACTTGAGTCTAGCGAATGGAATCGTCTAAAGATCAAGACGCTCGAGTGTATGAGGCAAGTAGTTGAGTGGAAGTTAAAGGCTGTTCATTTCGAAGATCAACTGAGTCCTAAGCTGGGAGCGTTAAAGCGAGTCGCAATCGAGAATCTCGGCCGAGCTGTGTCAGGATTACCAGGAATGACTACGCCCTCTGAGGTATTTACAGCTCTCGAAGAAGTCCTGAACGCTCTGCTTAGTCTCGGTAATGAAGAGGATACCGAGCTGCAGTTTGACGTTGGCGAAGGCCTCGTCGCTCTTGGAACTCACGATGTTAGTGAAGAGTTTACAACTGATCGCCAGACCAAGTACGCCCACTTTGCAGAAAACCGTGCCGCTGTAGTTTTTGAGCGAGTTCTGGCCGATTACGCGGGATCTCGACAGCCCAAAGTTCGTCGAAACGCTACGATTTGGCTGCTCTGTATGTGTGCAGCTGGTCTAGGACCAGTTTCTGATGGTGGGGATGCAGTGATGTCTACTACGTCGTGGAGAAGTGTATTGGGATCCCCTGCTTACTCACAGTCAGTGCTGGAGGTACACGAATTCTTTGTGACGATGCTGAACGATGCGAACGAAGTCTCAAAGGAAAGCGCAGTGAAGGGCCTTGCTTACTTACGACTGCGCGCACCGACCGAAGATATGGGCGTTCAGTTCAGCGACAGTTTATTCCGTCGACTGCGATGCTTCCGAGCCTTTGCGTCTACTGCTGATGCTGTTGATGACGATGAAAATGCTGCGAATACGGATAGAGGGAATGACCCGACTGCTACTGCATCGTCACCTAGCTCTACCGTTGAGAACGCAGCATATCGTGAGGTCAGCAACGTAGCAGCAGATGTTGGCGACCCGGAGCTCATGTACGCGCTGCTTTACTTGAGCACAGCGGATCCAATATGGGGGTCCCTGGCATCGTCATCTCGTACGTCTCTGCGATTCAGCAAGTTCTCTTTTGTTGTAACAGACAAAGAATTCCGGGCTTCAATCGTAGCCAAAGCAGGCAGTCAATGGATGTCTGAGGACTACTCCAACAAGACGAAACTGGTGCCTTGGCTGTATCTGCTCAAGTTCCACTCCAACAGCAAGGTAGCTGCCGTCATGGGCAACTTGTGGGAGTTTGCGAAGGGGAACTCGGTCACTGTATCAACAGCAAAAGGAGAGAAAACGTTGCTTCGACAGAACTGGACGCTTCTGTTTCAGTTCGCTTTGGCACGGCTGGAAAACGCCCGCAATTTCAAGTATCGTGAAGCTGCGTGTCTTGCACTTGTTGACCTGCTTAACGGAGCTGAGGCTGACGACGTACGAAGTGACTTCTTACGCCTCTGGAAAACTGCGTCACGTGCGGTAGACGATGTCATGGAAGCTGTTGCGCTCTCTGGAGTCAAGCTGTACCGCTATCTCGGTGAACTGAGTTTGCGTGTGGCTGCAAGCGACGCAACGTGTCGTTCTCAACTGCTGGAATTCCTGGTCGGAGACGGGATCGTAAACAAAAACACTATCTGTCGCGCACTCAGTATTGACGTGTTGTTACGTCTCGTTAAGACACTGAAGGCTGTGGACATGCAAGACCGCTTGGCGCCGCTGTTGTTGAAGCTTCTCGAGTACTTATCATCTCTGGAAATGCCTGAGCTCCAGTACGCACAATTTCACGTTGAGAAGAAGGATCAACTGGAGCGTCTACGTGTGTCCATCAGCCAAGCAGGCCCTGTCGGTCAACTACTGGAGCTGGCGACAACTCATCTTAAGGAGCTTGTCGACTCTCCAGCGTGTGTAGCTGTCGTCTCTGAGCTCGTTCGTGGCGTTTCCAATCTGCTCAAGTTCGGGGTCGGACTCAATACGCGAGTGGGAACTGCGAATTTCGTGGTCACACTTGCAGGTGAACTCCCCTTTGAGCTTCGAAAATGCAACGGAGCTGAATTGTTGCTGTGTCGTGTGTTTGTTCCGTACGTTGGAGCGAAGACTGCGGCGGAGAACGATCAGTATGGAGACGAAGAGAGCAGATACGGTGCAAGTAGCACAACCGAACAGACTGATGCAAGTTTGATAGCGACGTCGGGGTTGACGGATGGATTGGTCATTCAAAGTTACTGTCGAGCTGCTGCGTATTTGTGTCCACTCGTGGATGCTGCTACAGTTCGAAACTACGTTCGCTCGGGGATCTTCGCGTTCAACAAAGCAGTCAGCAAAACTTCCAGTGCTTCGTCCTCCCCTCAGAGCCACAGCGACGAAGACGTTGGCATGGAGGCAGAAGACACCGTGTCAAAGACACCCCAGGTCTATACTAGCCGATACTTGTTGATCAGCGCACTAGCGACGAAGGAGCTTGTCAAGAAGATCCCGCCGATCGCAGATGCCGGTACAGTGGTGACTGACGATCTACGCAACACTTGGTACAGCACTCACGTGTTTCCCGCAGCGTTTATCGGCCAGTTTGCAGCCACGGACGC